AAATGAGGAAAACTAATTAGTGAACAATATAACCGGTGGGAAACGAAGGAAATTTTCACAAACTTAAGGATTAGTTTGTGTGGTACAGAAAGTACTGTTAGTCTCCGAGAGGAAATAGTATTTAAACCTCGCACAACGTTTCGTGGACAACAACTGACAGTGAGTTAAGAACACTCCCAGATATTTCATAGCGTAGGAACTTGGTATTGGGTGATAGTTAGCACGTGCAGTGGGGGAAAACCGGCTCTTAGAATTACGTGTGGCTCACCGGATTATATTTAAAAAATCGCATTATAACATTCGGAGGTGTTCAGAATGAAAGAACCAGATGTGGACTACCTAACAACTGCATCAAGTCCCCTTGGGAACTGTGGGGTTCGTTGGGGCATAAAGGTTTACTGTCAAGCACTACATCATTGGCATATTTACATCTAATAAAACTGAAAAGAAAAAGATGAAAAATGGCAGTTTAGAGCACCACTGATTTGATGAGATATGCCAACAATTCACGATGGTTCCGTGTAAAATGAGCACAATCAGTGAAATAATCGCGTAAGGTTTGGCAAATGTCTCGATTTGCACGTCTTTCTGAAAGCATATTAAACAAAGAGGGTCTGTTCAGGCCACCAAAAGCAAACTTTTAATCAAAGAATATCATGCACGCGATATTACAATTTCCATCCAGTGAAGAGGCTAGGGAGTGTACCAAGTATGCGACGGCATCCAGTGAGGAGTGTAACTGTGTGTACGCGAAATCAAGCAATCTTGGGATGGAAAAATAACTCAAACAGCTTTGCCATCAGAGAAGTACAGGTTATGGGGCGATATTTTCCAGGCATATGCTTCGGAACGGGTCTCCAAATAGAAGGAATCTTACCACTGAACAGGAATTAAAGATATCTGGTAAATGAGCTGAAGAGAATCAGCATACTCTTAGAGTACAACAGACGACAGATGGTCAGGACCACTAACCACGCTTGCCTTTGTTACCCTTAGTCTGATGCAGACATGGGAAGCATCAAGTAGTAATGAAAAATTAGTGACAGGAAATCATGGTAGGTGGAGGAACTAAATTCAACATTAGGTTTTTAGACATCCAATTTCTGTGTACCAGTGTTTGAGAAAATGCCACGAAGATTTTAGTAACGCGCCACATGTCACAGCGACTGGTGCACCCAAGGACAATATTAGTGTAAATTTTGTCCACCGGCAGGAGTTCCGCTTTGAGCAACACAGAAAGACAGTTCAACTTTCTTACTCTGTCTCTTCCCCATTAGCTATAGTGATATCCTTGTTTGGCAACGTGTACTCTTAACTTCGGTCGACAATGTCATTTTCGACACTGAAATACATAAACCCTTCCTTGATAACTGCGCGCTCGCCCGAGGTGCACTAATTTGTCCGTTTACAGGTTCCATTCATTGCCATGTTCCTAAAATNNTAAAATTCATGCTTCCCATCACCTAAGCATACCAAGCTTTGTTAGTTAGTTGTACCTGCCATGCATCTGAACGAGTGTCGATAAAGAACTACAGATGATTTCTTTAAAAGTTGCAGTGCATACTTAATTCTTACATTTTATTCCTATTCACATTGATGGCGAGGTGTATGAGGTGCAGTGAGAAACAAGCGTCTGTGTGCATACACGTCACTCAAGCCCAATACCAGCAGGAACAACACACCGGAATAAAGCTCCGAAAGCGTAGCCAGGATATGCATGTTGACAAGGACGAACAACCATGTGGTATGACGGTTCATACAACGAAATGCAATCGGTAGTGAGCGCTCACTA